TTTTGTCCAGAATTTAAGAAGTTTTTTCCATGGGGAAACAGATGGTAGAGGGAGCATAATGGACTATTAATAACATGGACTTCGGAGCAAGACAGCTTGGGTTTGAATCTTGGCCCACTGCTTTTAAACTGTTATGACTGTGGCAAGTTATTAACCTCATTGTGCCTTAGTTTCTTCATTCATAGCCTGGGGATAATAATAGTACCTACTTCCTTAGGTTATTGTGAGGGGTAAATAAGTTAATGTATGTCAAGTAGTAGAACAATGCCTGGCATGTGATAAATGCTGCATAAAAGATTGCTTTTGTTACTGTAACAGTGCCACTATTGACTTCTATTGCTGCTCAGTGGCCTTTGCAAGATCTCTTTGCAGGAGATCGCAGGTTTCATTTTTAGACTGAGAATTCCCTGAGGTCCTTGGGGAGTGAGGCTTAGAATAGCACGTGCAGATGTATTTATAATCCCACAAGGAGCAATAAGCCTGTATGCACTCACATCTACACTACTACTGCCCTTTTCACTGCTCTGCTCTTCCTTTATCCATCACAAAGAAAGCACTCTTGACAGGTGTCAGGGTGGAAGCAGGAGAGCTCCCTGAACCTTGCTATGAGAAGTAAGCTAGATAGGGCTCTAGCTTCCTAATGCAATGAAATCTGATGATATGCACAGTGGTTAGGGACATAGATGCTGCACCTAAGTCCCAACTTTGGTAATTTCTTAAATTTGTTGCCTTATGACAAGTTACTTAACTTTTCTCTGCCTTTTGTTTCTATCTATATAATCATAATGTAATTCCTACTTCATGGAATGGGTAGATGCAAATTCCCAAGAAGGTAGCTGGTTTATATGTTTAGTATATGGGCAATGTTGTAAGTACTGTATGATTGTATATCAGGCAAGGAGAATTTTTGCTCTGTGGATGATCAGTGGCTCACTAAAAAAAATCAAGAACCAAATGCTAATAAATTAGTTGCTATTATTTTTTAGATGGAAAGATATCCATGCATTGACTAACTCATTTGAAATGGATGACTTATGACTACTTAAATTTTAAAAATTGGCCTAAAAATATAAATTAGAATGGAATCTCAGAGTTGGAAAACACTCCAATTGTTGTCTAATCCAGACACCCCTCACATGCATGTATCTCCCCAGGTGCTTAGCTGGTCCTGTACTCTAAAGGTGGAAGTAGTTTGATTTTGTTCCTGTTGTCCCTGGATCTCTCCTATTTGCAATGGTCTATCCCATCCTAGAGTGCTATGCCCAGCACATGGAGGCATGAAGAGACTGGTCATTATGGTGGTTTTCTGATGGGATGGTATTTGCATAGCTTATTGGAGTAGTGCTGGGAAATCTAGTCTCTTCTGACACTTAGGTTTTCAGGTCCTACTGTGGTGTTAGATGCAGCCAATAGACTTAAGTGAGATGACAAAGATGTACTCTTACGTTCCTGGAGAAGCTGCTCCATGAAAGAGAAGATCAGTAAAAAACAAATCGAATGTTGATGCGTGTCGGGGAAGTTTGGAGTTGGAGAATTTTAGAGCTAGAAAAGACCTGGGAGATGATCCAGACCTTTAAAATGATCCAAAAACAAGGCATAAGAGAGGTTAAGAGACTTGGCCACAGGAGCTCCACTAGTTAACATGAGTACACAGAGTGAGAGTTCTTTCCACTGCCTCTCTCTGATTCTCCAGCACTCTGATTAGAAATGTGGGTGCTAGAGACTGGCTGCTTTAAATCAGATCTTGGTTCTGCTCTTAATTGGCAGTGTGATCTTCTGCCAGCTGTGTACTTCTCTCTGCCTCAATTTTCTTACTTGGAAAAATGGTAATAATCATAAAGGTTTTATGTGTAAGGCACTTATGACAGTGCCTGACGCATAGTGAGCACTCAGTAAGTGTGTTATTATTGCTAGTCTTCCAGAGAACCCCAGGCAGGAATGTCAGCTCTCAGACAAGCCAGAGAATACATGTTTTGACCAGGCTGGTGTTTAAAAGTATTTTCTCTCAGTTGAAATATGGCTTTTTATTCCTTCCTGGCTTCTGATTCAGAAGTGATCTTCAGGACCCATCTGTGAATGAACAACCATATTCTTCTCTGGAATCACTATGTGACTTTGGGATATAAAATGATTAAAAATTATGCCCCATTATTTGTGGTTTCCAATTCACATTCAGCAAATATTTACAGAGTGGTCTGCTGTGTGCCTGTCTTGGAGATAGGGCCTGGATGCAAAGGTGGGCAGTCTGATGTGCTCCTCACCCTCATGGTATATGCAGGTTAGGCGGGGCAATTTGCAGTTAGATAGGTAATGCTGCCGTGGCATGGGAGGGAGCACTGACAAGAGAGAACAGAAAATTGTTTTACAGCACATGCAGGGAGCTCTTAACCTGATGTAAGAGGTCAGGGAAGGACTTTCTGGAAGAAGTGATGTCTAAGCTGAGACCTCAGTGATGAGTTAGATTCCTGACTAGTGTATATAGGGGCTGGAGAAGAGTATTCTAAGCACGGGGAACCGTGTGTGTGTGTGTATGTGTGAGTGCATGGATATACACTCAGGCTTAGGAAAACTCTGGGTATTCACCAAGTCATTCAATATTTAACAAGTGTTTATGAACTACTTACTATGCAGCAGGCATTGTTTTACATATTAAGAGACATCAGTTAACAAAATAGGAAATATTCTTATTTTCATGGAAGTTATAGGGGAGAACAGAGAACTAAAGCTTAGTGCTATGAAGACAACTACTTAAGGGAGGATGTTCAGGGAGGACTGTAGGATGAAGTGCTAGTCAAGCTGAGACCTGCGATGTGAAGGAGCCAGACATGTAAACACCTGGGGGAGGCAGAAGGAACAACAAAGTCAAAGAGCTCAACAGCAAGAACAATCTCGGCCTGTTGGAGAAACTGAAAGAGGGCCCGTGTGCTGGTATATCAAGGTGTGGGAAAAGTGTATGAATAATTCAAAGGGTGTTTCATTAGGAGGGCTGTTATCAAAAAGATAAAAGACAACGTGTGTTGGTGAGGGTATGGAGAAAAGGGAACTCTAGCACACTGTTGATGGGAATGTACATGGTTGCAGTTGTTATGGAAAACACTATAGAGGTTCCTAAATAAACTAACAATAGTCTGGGCATGGTGGCTCACGCCTGTCATCCCAACACTTTGGGAGGCCCTGGCCAACATGGTGAAACCCTGTCTCTACTTAAAAAAACAAACAAACATACAAAAAAACCTGGGTATGGTGGTGCATGCCTGTAATCTCAGCTACTGTGGTGGCTGAGGCACGAGAATTGCTTGAACCTTGAACCTAGGAGGCAGAGGTTGCAGTGAGCTGAGATCGCGCCACTGCACTCCATCCTGGGTGACAGAGTGGGACTCTGTCTCAAAGAAAAGAAAAAAGATTAAGAATATACTGCTATATGATCAAGAAGTCCGTCTTCTGGGTATATGCCTCAGGAGCTGAAATCACTACCTCGTAAAGATATCTGCGCTCCCATGCTCACTGCAGCATTATTCACAGTAGCGAAGATAAGGAAACAACCTGAGTGTCCGTCAATGGGCGAATGGATGAAGAAATTGTGGTACATAAATATGCCTTAGAAAGGAAGGAGATTTTTATATTGACAATGAAAAAAAATTTAAAAAACGAGATCTGTCGTTTGCCCTAACATGGATGGAAATGGAGGACATTATGCTAAATGAAGTAAACCAGACACAGAAAGAGACATGGTGCATCATTTCACTTATATGTGGAATCTAAAAAAAAAAAGTTCAAATATACAGAAACAGAATAAAACAGTTACCAAGGGACAGGGGGCAGGAATAGGGATGCATGTCAAAGTATACAAAATGGATCTGCAGGATGAACAAGTCTACAGATCTAACCTACAAGATGTGGGTTATAGTGAATGAAACTGTATGTCATTAGGGACTTTTGTTGAATAAGTAGATTTCAGCTGCTCTTGTTACACAAAAAAGTAACTATGCGAGGGGATAGATATGTTAATTTGCTTCACTATAGGAACCATTTTACTATCTGTATGTATCCCATACCATCATGTTGTAAACCTCAAATATATACAACTTATTTTTACAAATCAATAATTCAAAGGTTGGATTGTTGATGCTGAGAAAGATTCAGAAAATTTCTCAATGGGTTAAAACACACACGCAATGAGTCTCTTTTCTTTTCTTTTTTTTTTTTTTTTTGAGACGGAGTCTCACTCTGTCACCGAGACTGGAGTTCAGTGGCGCAATCTCAGCTCACTGCAACCTCTGCTTCCTGGGTTGAAGTGATTCTCCTGCCTCAGCCTCCCGAGTAGCCAAGATTATAGGCGCCTGACACCACACTTGGCTAATTTTTGTATTTTTTTGTAGAGACAGGATTTCACCATGTTGGCCAGGCTGGTCTCGAACCCCTGAACTCAAGTGATCTGCCCATTTTGGCCTCCCAACGTGCTGGGATTACAGGCGTGAGCCACTGCGCCGGGTGGACTCTCTTCAAAACTGGGAAGCTTTTGGAAAATCGTGTTGTAGATACTCCTTCTCCGAAGTAGGGATTGGCTATGTGTGTTTTAATAAATGAGATGAGATGAAGAGCATACATCCCATGGTCGTTGACTAGAACTGCATATAAGGCAAATGTGCTGATACACATTCTGTTTCCAGTTATGAACACATTTAAGCAACATAACAAATTAGCAGGGCTGCCTGGCTCAACATGAGAGTTCATTATGATGACTATGGGTGTCCCAATGATTTCTGTTGGGTTCTAGCTTTATACCGTATTTCTGATTGCCTTCAGGAGCATTCTTTTCTTTGGATTCAAATTTGTGTTGCAGAAGTGTTTTACATTTTTTTCTATCCAGTTTGAGCGTGCCTTTGTTCAAGCTTATTGTCCATGTTCTTCTCTTCTGTTTTCTCCGAATACGGAGAGTCTATCTCTGTATTCGAGCACATAGGCCACACAGGAGACTCATGGCTCTTGTTTACTCCCAGTCAACAGCTTTGGGGATGACGAAGAGCTGTCCACATCTTCCGACAGTGACGAGGAGGTGATCAAACAATTTGAGATTTCCGTGTCCCGGTCCCAGAGTTTCCGTTCAGTGACATCTGAGAAAGGAAAGCAGACAGGATTGGAACAGAAACCAAAATTCAGCCGTTTGTTGTTGACACACGGAGAAGATGGCACAGAAGTATCTGCCTGCGAAGGTATTCTTTGCCTGACACCCTTTCTTTAGACCAGGGATGGCCAATGGTATGAGCACATCCGAGTTATTCAGCCTCCACACTCTGCATCTGAGAGTCCAGAAAGGAAAAGAAAATGAGACAGGATGCAGCACATGGAGCAAAGGGGCTGCTTTCAACCTCCCAAGGGGACTGCCATGCAGGAGGGTTGAGAGAAGGAATGGATCAGAACTGGGTGGGTCTCGATACTCGGTTGTGGGACCCCTTTCTTTCTTATTGGCCACTTCTTCCTAAATTTAGAATAGTATTTATTGAGCTTAGCGAATCTTGTTCCCTTTTGATAAACACAAAAATTTCATGTACCTGTCCACTGACGTTGAGAGTCTGTGCCATTTCTCCCATTTAGAATCATAAAATAAGTTTTCCATATATCTATATAACTCCAGAAGATATTTTGAAGCCTTTCTTCTAATTAGTTTGCATTATGAAAGCAATGGGTATTTTTATCTTTCAAATAAAAAAAGTAATGTAATAATATTATAATAACCTTTTTCAAACAGCACATGCCCCTGCATCCTTACCCTCAGTCCCTGTAGTTTCTTACACACCCCACCTGCATGAAAATTACTGGGTAAGCACAAAGTCTTATGTCATTCTCCAGCATTATCTTCCTAAATTTACATTTCACAAAGGGGAGGGGATACTCAAAGGTAGGGTGGCCAGCTTGGGATGGTGGGCAGACCTTGTTACAGGTCCTCCTCCCCTCTCTAACATAGACCCAAAGTAACCTGGAGAGAGGATGCAAACAGAACAGTACACTAGTTCTTTGTGGTTTCCCAAGCAAAGGTCAAAGTATCTGTCTGACTCCTTTATGCCCAGAGCCCTGAATAGACACAGCCATCGTAACAGGGAAGGGTCTGTGACGTGTATTTGGTAAAAAAGCAAGAGAAAATGCTCTGCCACCCACCTTCATGACCTGATCTCAGTTACCTGAGCTCTCTAACCTTTCCTTCTTTCCTTTTGGGAAGGTGGTCAGTCAAATGAGGGCATAGCTGTAGATGTTCCATGTTTTCAAACCCAGACAGACAAAAAGGAGGGTGCAGAAATTGAGAGAAGATAAAAGAGGAGACATTTTGATTTGAGGATGAGCACAGGACATGCAGACAGAATAAAGGATTAAAGAGCTAGAATTAACAAAAAGACCCCTAATTTTCAGCAGGAATAACTTGTTATCTGTCATGTGGTCTGACTTATTGGCATAAACCAACATAATGCATTTTATTGCCATTCTTTTTAGCTCAAAGTAAATTAATAAATAAAGGCCTTATATAACCGAACCACAACATCAGTGGCTGCGGACACCGTCATTTCCCCACCCCCTCTCTTGGCTTTTCTCTTTCTCTGATGTTACATCACAGCATTCCTTTCTCTCCATTGAGAGGGCAAATGTTAGCTAATGAAAGTTAATAGCAGTTGATTCCCTGAGAACAGCTTGTTTAATCCTAAAGCTAATGGCCCCATTTCCCCAAAGCCCAAGTGTCTGGCTTCTGATTTATACAAATGGCTGATATTCTGAGAGTTCTGACAACCATTCTAACCCTTATCCTTCCTGGAATGAGCAACAAATTATCTCTTGTCCTAACTGGTAATTCTGAATTTTAGACAGAGGTTGATAGAAAAGGTTAAAGAGGAAAAAAAATCTACTACATTGAATGAAGTACCTGTAGATTTTGAAGAAAATCAGCAGGATTTTCACAGAAATAGCCACATGCCAAATTTTAGGTTACCAGATGCCATGGAAATGTTAACATGGTTTTTATTGCTTGATTTTTTTTTGTTCATCTTTATATCAGTGGATTTTTTTTGGTGGTAAAGAATCATGAAAAGATTAAGCATGCAGCCCAGAGAGGAATTTTTTGGTATGCCTGTTCTCTATTTAGCTGTTTTATTCCACTGTAAACCTTGTTTTGTAAGACCAAATGTAGTTGTAGAAACAGTTCTTCCACTTTAAAAATGCATTCAAAAGTGTTGGACAGTGAAATTAAAGGTCCAAATCCAAGTAAAATCTTAAACATGAATGAGCTATTGGTAGGTTGTCTCATATTTCATCTTAAGTGAAATCCTTCATTCTAGATTCTGTGGTGAGGCTATTTGGAACCATATTCCAGGCAAGTTCTCTTTTGTCCTGTGTATCTGATTTAATGTTATCGCACTCTGTTACTGGATTCCTGATAATGTTAAAGAGGGTTTTTGGTCTAAGTGGTCTGGATTGGAGGCCTGTATGCAAGGTCTTTAGGCATGAAAGGTTAGTTGCAGAATATTAGTCCATTTCCTGGGGCTTTTTTTTTTCTTTCTAGCAGTAACCTTATTTTTGCTTATGGAATAGTTATTCTGAGGATGTTTCCTACAAGCTAGATATTATTACCCTGTTGTCCTCAAAACCAGATCAATTGTCTCCAGAATGTGTACTTAGTTTTGTTTGAGATGGTATATCCGTCATGGTTCAATTGGAGAACTAGAACCAGCAGGATTATATACATACATATACATACAGAATGTACATGTACATACAAACACATGCACATGCAGGGGTGTGTGTGTGTGTGTGTGTGTGTGTGTGTGTACCCCAAGAGATTCATTGCAAAGAATTGGTTTATATGAAGGTGGTGGCTGGCTGGGTAACAGAAATACACAGCCCCCATATTTGCAGAACAGGTTGCAGAAAGGTAGGGGGAAACTCTAGGCATGAGCTGAAGCTGTAGTTCTTAGGTTGAACTTCTTCTCCAGGGGAACCTCAGTTCTCTTAAGGTCTTTCAGCTGACTGCTTATGTAGGATAATCTCCTTTGCTTAAAGTCAACTGATTATAGGCTTTAGTCACATCTATAAAATACCTCCACAGCAATACCTAGATTTAGTGTTTGATTGAATAATTGGCGCCTATAGTCTAACCAAGTTGACACATAAAACTTGCCGTCACAGATGGTAAGCAGAAGTCTTTGTATTTGGGTGGCGATCAGGGAAAGAGGTTTGGGAGTATGCAAAATGTATTTGAATAATGAGGTTTTATTCTATCAAAGTGGGATATGGACTAAGCAAGTGGAAGAGTTTCTCTGTTAAAATAAATTTGGTTGATGTGACATAGTTATGGCCTATAATTTCTAAGAAGCCAGGATACATTTCTCTGACAACAGGCAATTACTTTTGTGCGTGTGTTGAAGGTGACATGATCTTCTTTAATTTAAAGGCACGGGAAGACTGCTTTATGGAAAGGTGAATCACCTTTCCCTTTCCTCCTCCTCGCAACTTGACTTGTACCCCAGATTTGCTTCGCTAATTCATTCCTTGCTTGTCTGTCATGGAAAATGGTTTGTTACGTTAATATCATTCTTATGTTTTTCAGTTATGAATAGCTTTTCAAGGCTTAATGTAGCTTTTGAAAATTCTCTTATTACTGATCTTGGTATTATCACCGTAGGAGTTAAAGTCATGAGACAATTTTATGGGGGTAATTTCTTGGTAAAGTAAAATTTTGTGCTGAAATCCTGCTGTGTTCTACACATGTTGATGGATGACCCACTGTTTAATAGGACATTTTACTGTTCGTATATGTGAGGAATGGGTGTGCTAATTAGAGACTTAGAAGAAAATCCTGCTTTATGTTGTAGGTTTTTGCATGTGGATTTTTCCTTGTTCTGTCATTTTGTGTGGCCTGTTTTTAGTATGTTTGCCAAATAACCAAAAGTCTGGATGTAAAAATGTTGTGATGTCCTATAAAAGTGTGTCTAAGGGGTCTGAACTGAATAATTTAGGATAACAAAGAAGATAGGGAACTTTCTCAATGGCTGCTGTGATTTTACAAAACCCCAAATCAGGAGTCTGAAGTTCTACCCCGAAGATCTGCCTGAAGATGTTTTTATATGGTCTGGTTGATAACATATTTTTAAAGTTTGAATGCTTACTATACATGGGTCATATACTCTGGTGAATCCCTGTCACCAACACTCATTGCCGCATACCTGGCTGCTTTCAATGTTTATTACCTACCTAGACTTTTAAGTTCTCTGAAGGGTTAGTGATAACCCACTGGCAGATAAAGACTATGCAGTAGATGTATGTGGCTTAGTACCATCCAGGAGCTTACATTCTATTAATAGCTGAGGTATCAGGCTAACGAGGGAACACAATTGCTACCATACGATGTATATGTAAGGGCTTTATGACATAGACTTTGCCAACCCACTCCCTTGTCCTGTCTAAATCTCTAATTTTCTTTCATCCTGGGATGGGGTCTGCTGGAGGAGAAAAGAGGCCAAAGAGATAAGAGATCTTCAATTTCTCTTTGGGCGTGGGAGGCAAATACTGGGGGCAGCTATTTCTTAAGAAGATCCTGCCAGCTTTTCCTGACCATCTGAGGACAACCTTGACATGTAGGAAGACGAAAGGGGATGAATTGGAGTGAGGAGTGCTGAGAGAGAAAAGTGTGGAGACTGAAGGAGGCAGGGAAAGCTCAGGAGTTGTTGGCGCTTTGTATGGGGAGGGAGGACAGGACACAGGGAGGGTTTGAGGGGCACTGTGAGCAGAAATACACAGCTAGCATTTTCATAAATGGGTGAGACCAGAGGAATGAGGCATGGTCACTTGGGAAGCAGTGGAAAATGGGGTTGGATGGGCTGGATGAGGCCAGTTCGGGCCAGGCAGGTAAGCAAGGCTAATATTTATGGAAGGCCTGCTGGCTGCCAGGTGAATATTATTTCATGTATCCACAGTGATCTTCTGATGGCTTTTATCATTTTTTAGATAAAGAAGCAAAGATTCAGAGAATTTGAATATTGTCCAAATTCTTATGGTAGAGACAGGATTTAAACTCAGATCATATCAATCCAAGACCATGAATCAAGGAGAGAACTTTTTACTTGGTAGGGTCACCGAAGCTTTTTGAGCAGAGGGGAATATAGTAAACACTGCAGAGAAAAGGAAGCATGGTAAGGTTGGGAGACCATATGATCTTCATATTAGACGACTCTTTTTGCTTTCTAGATCCATTGCAGAAGTCTTGTGGTCATTAGCTCCAGCAAAATGCTGCGTCTATTTTATCCTTTTGACATAAATATACATTCTCTACACTCATATTTAAAAAGTATTAAACCTTCTGATACCCCCCATAATGAGATAATGTTCTTTTTCATTTTATGGATCAAGTTTCTTCACTGTATGGATAGAATTATGTTTCTGCAGGTATTATTGGTATGGGTTCTGTTTTCGCAATCTTGATTGTTGTGACTGCAATTACTCAATTTCTCTGGGTAAAAAGGTATTAAAAATAATGCATTTGAAACAGTTTTCTTATTGCAAATTTAGATTTGGATGGAGCCAGCCAACGGCGTTATTCTGAGAATCTCTCCTATGGTGAAGATGACCACATCCCTGCTCACTCACAGTCCCCATGTGAGAGGGGGGATGCCAAACACCATGGCACATCTCACCAAGAGTCCAATGTGGTCCAAAGCCTCAGGCGCCAATCCACAGAGGGCAGCTTGGAGATGGAGACAGCTTTTAATAGCCGGGGATTTGAAGATTCCTATGCCACTGACAGCTCCTCCATGTGGAGTCCAGAGGCAAGTTATTTGTTTTTCATTCTTTCATTGGTTCCCTTTCCCCTTCCCCTCTTTCCACTATCCTTTCTCCTCATCTCACTAAAAAAAGAAAAAAAAAAATTCCAGAAAGGAAACATTACCTTTATCTGCAATAAATTTTTGTTCAGATGACCAAAATCCCATGCATGTCAATAACAGAATCATAACTATCTCTCAAAATGGAAAAAAAAGGGAGAATGGTTTTAAAAAAAGGAAGAAAAAGAGGAATGGTGACAGAATGGATCCAGGAACAGCCAGGCTTTTCTTTTACATAAAGGCTTTTTACAGGCTTAATTTTAAATAATGGAATTTTCAGTTCTTTAGAGAGACTGGCTTATTTACTTCATGGTTTCAATTAAGTGGAGTCTCTTTTTATTTAGTCCAAATCTCAAGTTTTGATTATTTGATATGAAAGTTATTTGAAAATGGAACTAAAATGATATGGCCTTCCAAGTGAAATTATACAAGGTATGATGATGTGGCTGTTGCACTGTGAATATATTTGTTAGCTTTGAATTTAACTGAAGGCCTAGGAAACAGCATTAATCAGTAATGGCCCTCTGGCCATTGACACTGCTTTTTGTAGTAAATCTCTGATAAAAGATACTTCTTCCAAAGTTCTTTTTCAATTAAAGCTTAGTCCAGTATAAATGTAACAATCAATCCAGAGATATGGCTGGAGGTGATGATGGTAGTAGCTACAATTTATTGAGCAGTTAATATATGCCAGGCACTGTGATAAGGATTTTACCAAATTGTTTCCTTTTACTGGCCCTTACAGTTATTTTTCCATTAGATAGATCCCTCCTATCATGATTCTGTGACATTGGAAGGCATTAAGGAATGGCGTTTAATACCTAATTTGAAATTAATTTTGATGAAATAAGTCATATACATATATAAACCTTTAATATAATTTGCAGGGATGAGGGAAGGAGGAGAGAGGTAAATGGATTTTATTAGCATCCATTTAAGAAAATAAACAGAATGCATCTCTTGTTAGGACTTGGAGTGTCACACACACTAAATGCTCAAGGTAAAAAAAAAAAAAAAATCACAGAAAACCCTGTTTCCAAGCCTTACTGCTGACACATTGGTGCGTGTAGGTAGTATCTAAGGGGGGTATGCACACATATACGTTCCCCTGTGTAGGTGTTTCTGCTGAGGACCTAAATGGTAGCTCACATATGTGGTTTGTGGCTTGTTAAAAAGCAGCCCTTCATATAGAGGCACCCAAAGCCATTAACTTTATAAATTTTGTTTAAAAAAAGAAAAAACTCTGCTTACCCATTAGTTTGCTACCAAGCCATATTAAATCCCACACACGAACATTTTAAAAATGCTTTGAATCTCTCACCCAAAAACAAAACAGACTAAACGATTTGCCTGCCTATTGACACTCTGTCTCCTTGGTGATTGTGCCATGAGGCTTGGAAGTGCCTTCTCCAGGTCACCTCCCATTTACCTGCCTGCTGGAGCTTTAATAGAAGACTCGGTATTGAGGGTACTAAATGTTCTCAGACTCCAAAAATACCCAGACATCTCTGTGTGCTCCATTCAACCTCCTATCTATTTTGAGAAAAAACTGTAATTTGGTGCTCCCACAGTAGAACTTCAAATCCAGCACGGAGGCAGTTCCCGTAACTGCCTGCTTTGCAGGCTTAGCTTGCCTTTTAAGAATTGATTTATTTGCCTCTTAGCCGTATTGAGAACTCTGTCTTCCCCTGTGTATCTGGCATCAGGAACATATTGTAGGCCTGTTTGCTTTAGGCCGCACGGATGACATCAACACTATCTTACTCAAACAGAAAGGCTTTCAATTTGACAGAAAATCTTTAAACATACATGGGTTTTGACAATTTGACACAAGTATTCTCATCTTAAGGAAAAGCCCAGGATATTAGAGCTCAAGGAATCGTTTATTTTGTCTCAGAAGGAAACCGGTCGTGCAGTGTGACTACCTGTTAGGTGGATGGATTTTTGAGCTCCGCTTTTCGCTGCTGGCAAAGGCCTTTGGCTTTTGCCTGCAGACCCAGGGTTTGGCAGGAAAGACAATGGGAGTGTGGCTAGTGATTTTGAGCACACAGGGAGACAGGTGTCCCACTTTTCATCTCTGCTTTCCACTGATTCATTGGTTGGCCTTGAGAAGTTAATTAAAATCTGCCAAATGGGGATAAGAATGAAGAGATTTTTACCTTGCAGGAAGGTCAGATGGATTAGTGGTGTTAACAGTACCCACATGAGGAGCTCCTTCCGTTGCCTGGTGAGAGGTAAAGTGTATTGAAATAATTAATTGCTATGAAAATACCAACATTCACAAATCTTTTTCTCAAATCAACCCAGGGAGGGGCCACAAAGCCCACTTTTTATGGGCCACAGCTTGAATTGGCCTATCCAAAGCCCAGCCATTGGCAGGATCTGTGCCTTATTCAGAGGCATTCTTAGGACAGTCAGGAGCTCTACTCAGGACTCTCCTAGAAACCTGCAGGTGCAGTGAGCATTTATCTGAAGAGATAGCCTGATACATAAGTGGAGAGAGTTCCTCATTCACTAAAATATTTTTACCTTGGCATTGAAGTTGACAAAACTAAGAGCTATTAACTAACATTAAGAGCAGGGGCCTCAAAGGATGTAAAAACCACAGACAGTGTGATTCCAACCGCCACCTTCCATCTTCTCCCCTCTTCATCTTGTGCTCTCTCTCTCTCGTGCATGCTTTCTCTCTCTCCCTCTCTCTCTCTCTATATGTGTGTGTGTGTGTGTGTGTGTGTATAAATAAAAATTGTTATGCCTGAAGGTTTGGGGAAGAAGAAAGGAGACCATATGGTTCAAAATAAGGTTTGGGATTTTGGGATTTTGAGTATTGAATACAAGTTAAGGCAGGCCTGGGACTCAAACTGCCAGGGAATGAGTCCTGGATAATCTTGTCTGTGAATATGATCTGGGCTTGTGGGGAAAGAGCGTGTTATTTAGTCTTTCTAAGCTTTAGTTTCTTCCTTCATAAAATGAAGGTATTAAAATACCTACCTCATTACATTGATGTAAATATTCAAAAAGATAATGTTTCTTAGTTGGGTTCCTCAAAAAAACAGAGCCTAAGTAAAGGCTTTGTTCCCTACTTTGGGAGTGCAACCCCAGGGAACAAAAGTGCAAGACAAGGGAAGTAAGGCAGGGAAAAAGGGAGATCAAGTATGAGAATACACAGTTGAATTGGCCACCACTCAGTATGGCTAATTGCTTGATCTTGTGTGTCCACACTCCAAGAAACTGTGTGAACTGATAGGACAACTGACTACGGGGCAAAAAGTAGACTACATATATTAGTATCAAGCAGGATTCTGCAGCTGTCTAAGCCTTGGCGGTCAACAGAAGGACCAATGATAAGAGATGAGAATTATATTGTGTGGGTAGAAGGTAAGACTTTATTGAATTGTTCCAGACTGAAACTACTTAGAGCCCAGATAGGCAGTGCCTTAGGGGAAGATGGAACGTGAGGTAAGGCCAAGAAGATCTGAAGTGTTTAAGAGCCAGTTTTTGTAGCCTGTAAAGGATTTGATACGGTATTTGGCATAAGAAACAGCATAGTAGATGTTAGCTATTATTACTTATGGTCAGAAATGCAATACAGAGATGAACAAGAGTAGGCTAAAATAGATGGGAGTTTTAGGAAGAGACAAGGGAGTTTGAGAGAAGATTCTGACTTGATTTTTGAGTTGGCCTAAATCCTTGGAGACTTGCTTCTAATATATATACACCAGTCAGTTGTATTCAAAAGTCTCTATAGCAACCACTTTTATCACTTGAAACTAAGTACCTCTGAATAGAAACACTCACGCATGATTGCATGCTCAGAGGAAAGGATATAAGAAGCTTCACTTATTTTACAAGAAATCTAAATTTTCTTGTAGGCTAATTTGAATCTTAAAAGAAAAGGGTATTTATTAGATGTCTACTGTCTGTCAAGTCCTCTACCTTTTACAACATCCCTATACAGAAGGTACCATCTTCATTTTACAGTTGAGGAAAATAGAACATGGAAAGGATTAAATAACTTGCCCAGTGTCATAGAGCTAGTAAATAGTAGGCCTGGGCTTCCTAAGGAAATATGAACCCAGAGAACCATGAACTTTCACCCAGACTATGTGGGAAAGTTTCACTGATGGATGCATATTTTGAGGCATTTTATTATAATTTGAAACGAGATCTCTAAATTAGCAAGGTCTAGTGTTCAATTGCATAGATAAGAACTGGTTTGCAATAAGAATCAGTTCAAAGTTGAGTTACAGGTAAGGATCATGCCTTCAGAGGAAAACAGAATTATTTTTGACATTATTTATAATTTGTTAGTGGGGTGGTTCATTATAATAAATGCAGTTCAGCTCAGTTTTCCCAGTAAGGTCATCAGATCTGAGTGGCTGCAAGTAAATTGCTGTCCAAGGGTGACATTCCATAAAGAGAGATGTGTGTTTGAGAATAGGTAGCACCAGTTCATTGGTGGGAATAGATATTGATGCAGTCTGGCCTGAGCCAGGTATTTTCACATCAATGAAAACCTCACAACAACACACCAGCAAGCAGGCACATTAATGTGCGTTTTTAAGCTTGAATACAGAGAGGCTGGTCTATTTGGCCAGGGTAAAAAAGCTAGTCAGTGCTAGAGTTATGATTTCAATTTAGATGTTCTGACTCCAGGCTCAGTGTTGCTGTTTACTAAAGGGCTGTGGAGGTGTCCTCCTAAACCCTTGCTGCTCAAAGTGTGAGGCGAGGCTAGTAGCATCAACATCCCTTGTACACGTCCCAGAAATGGCAGAATCTCAAGCTCCACTCCAGACCTACTGAGTCAGAATCCTCAGATGATTTAGGTCTACATTAAAGTTTGAGAAGCTCAGCCCTAAACCTTTTCTCTCACGTAGATTGAAAATATACTGAAGCATCACCTTCCTGGGACTCCCATCAAAATTCTTGTCTGTAGAAAACCCTTGCCTGTGGAGAACAGGCTCAGGCTCAACCATCTGTATTTAGGGACACAAGGAAAAGTCTCCTATGGACAATTGCCTGTTGACTTAATTTTAGATTTAGCATCTCAGTTGGTTTCAATGATCCTGGGCAATTGTGCTTTTTGAGAGGCAGTGTATATGAAAACACTTTGCAAAATATAAAAGCTTTAGTTATCCATTCCAAAAACATTCACGAAGGCGCGCCATATGCTAGGCACTGTGCCGTCAAAGAATTCACAGTTTAATGCAGCGACAGACCAGTAAATAGACCTGTCTGATATAGAGGGAATACACTGGCAGTTAGAAAGCAGGGATTCTGAAGGAGCACAAAGGAGCACCAACTGGCCAAAATGTAATTGGGTCTCATCATTTCCATTTCTAATTGTTTCCTCTGCCTGCAACAGGAACAGGACAGGACCAATTTGCAGGTGCCATCCGGAGTCTCAGAGCCCATCTCAAAGTGTGGTGACCTAGATGTCATCTTTGAATATAGAGCCTCCAGCCAGAAGCTCACAGTGACCATTGTGAGGGCACAGGGCCTTCCAGATAAGGACCGAAGTGGTGTCAACTCCTGGCAAGTTCATGTAGTGCTGCTGCCTGGTAAGAAACAGAGGGGCAGGACGAACATACAGAGAGGGCCCAACCCCGTCTTCAAGGAGAAGGTCACCTTCGCCAAGCTGGAGCCCAGAGACGTGGCTGCCTGTGCTGTCCGCTTCCGCCTGTACGCTGCCCGGAAGATGACCCGAGAGAGAATGATGGGAGAGAAACTATTCTATCTCAGCCACCTGCACCCAGAAGCGGAAATGAAAGTGACTCTGGTTTTGGAGCCAAGAAGTAATATAAGTGTGAGTATGTTCAATGGTGCTGCTAATGATGTGGTGTGTTCGAAGACCTGGGATTGTTAGCCCTTGATTTAGTACATTCAGTCTGTGAATTCAGAGACTTGAATTTAATTTTCCATTTGGCTCTCCTCACCCTTGTAAGCCATGATTTGCACTTCATGGTACAATGGGTCTTTCACGCCTGTCTTCCTGATAACCTGATGGATAAATGCCCTGTCCATTTTAGGACAAGATAGTAGCAGTGTGGTAGAGGGCATGGAGAAAAACAGGGAAGGTGGCTTGGCCTTCTGGTTTGTGGATAACTGATCCTACTCCTCCTACCCCCAATCTGCATCATGATGAATCTCAGAGATGGGACTTTCTGGACAAGGTTCTTCACTGGTATGCTGGGGCAGACTGAGATAGCAGCCCAGAACTTCAGCTGCCTCCGAAACCTTTCATTTGTGTTAGTACAGTCTTCCCTCATACCCCATTTCCCTGCTTGCCCCAGAGTTTCAAGGAAGGGTGTCATAATTTACATGTCTGCAGGATGGGCAGCTCACTACTGTTGTGGGTTATATGTCATGTAGTATGCCCATCTCTTTTTAAAAAACCATGTTAACAGATCAGGGAGCTCTCTAGGCTTTGGGGTCAATCAGTCATTCATTCAGAGATGTTTACTGTCAATTATGGTACAGGCAAAGTGGATGCAGGAAAGAACTAAGCAGGCAATGCCTCTGCACTTGGAGAGCTTGCAGTCTAGTGGTGGCCAAGTAGGCAAGGAGAGAGAGTGATAGGCTGCTCTTGTTTAGAGGATCAGAGAAAGTTTCTCTGAGGTGGTGATGAAACAGCAGAACTCACAGCATCGAGAGAGCGAGGCTGGTGACGTGAGGAGGATGAGAGTTCCATACAGAGAGAACAGCACAAGCAAGCAGTCAGGATGTGGGGTGGCCGGGGGAGGGAGGAAGCTTGTCATATCTGAAGAAGAACAAAGGAGACAGAAAGCCTGGACTGTAGTGGTGGCAGGTTCATCTACTTAAATGTCCAATGATGTCTCAAAATTAACATCTTCAGGCTTGAAATCCTGATTTTTGCCTCCCTAAATCTATTCCACCAGCAGTCTTCCCCATGTTACTTAAAGGCAGTTTCATTCTTCCAATTGCTGGGTTCAAAAATCTCAGAAATCATCTGTGACTTTTCTGTTTTCCACCTGAAATCCTATGGGCTCTATCTTCAAGTACAACCAGAACCTGGCTCTCTGCTGGATTACTGAAATAGCTGCTCAGTGGTGGTCTTTCCACTTCTGCTTTTGCCTCTACAGACTCTTCTGGACATGGGAGCCAGAATGAGCCTTTTAAAGTATAAGCCAGATGATGTCTCATCTCTGCTCAGATCTCCCTTTTTTCTGAATATCTGAGTAAAGCACATCTGAAGTGATGGAGAACAGAATGCACAGGAGATCAGGAGGGATCCTGCGTGATAGAGCTGGGGAATGGGGATGATCACACCCATATTTCTGCTTGCTAGGCCCTATGCTGTGTGCTGGGGGCACAGTGTTGAATAGGGAAAATGAGCTAGTGTAAAAGAACTTTGCAGGTGAAAATCTTTCGTTTTGTTGAGCATAGTTATGTGTCAGACATTAGGCTATGCACCAGGGACTGAGAGATTTATACGGATTCAGAATTTGATGGGAGAGGCAAGCAGTGAGTGACAGGTGCCACAGCGGGAAGCTTTTATAGAAGCACTGGAGTGGGAGTGAGTCTCACTGAAAAGTAAGCGAATATTTCATTGTTGAATTCTTATCTTCTAGACAGTAGGGTCTGTAAGGCATCTATCACAACCACCTAGCCCTACCGTTTACAAATTGTGTTCCATAAAGCCTCCAGGGCGGTGGGGCAGGGGGTGGCACTCTGCCGAGATGTCTGTGGTTTGGTAAACAGGATATTTTCCTGCAGATGGGCAGAATATTTGATTCCTTTTATTGGTTCTGATTATTGAGTTTCTGGTCAGGATTTTGAAGAAATGATTTTAGACATTGAGAAGAAAGGGTTAAGCCAAATCGAATGCCCTTGTTTCTGGTGGAAGAGATGGTGTTTCAGGGGGACAGGATTGCCTGCCCCCACAGGGCTGATTGCTACTCCCGTGCCTTGGGTGACAATCAGTGTCCTGCTCAATTTTGCGCTCCTCCTCCTGATGTGCCCATGCCTGGTGGGGAAGGGTAGGTGCTCAGGAGAAGCGTGCCCATGAATAAACATGACAGAAAGCGCAAGTTCTCCTGGGCTAACTTGGTGCCTGCCAGGTCGCTGAGACCCACAACCCGTGTGTTGGCTTTTTTCTCAAACAGTTGTAAAAGTGCTCATTTGTAATGTAAGTTATTTCTTTAAAAGGCAAAATTTGGCACCTGGCATGTATTTAACAACCTTAAGCAGTACTAGGAGGCAAATATTCTATGTGGGGGTAGATGTCCAGTGGTCGTTTCTTTTACAGTTAAGACACAACACCTCCTGTATTGCCATATTCATCAAGGAGCTGCAGAGAACAGAAACAAACCTCAGGCCTGGAGTGAAGGGGTTCCTTAGAAACATCCAAGCACAGATTACACAGGAGGGAATTTGAGTCTATATTGAATGTATTATTAACTCTCCTTGTATCTTAGAGGGTTTGATTTACACTAGTAATAACGTCTTTGTCCGTTTTGTCTTTAGAGAGGAAATATTGAATGGAAATAGCTCTTGAAGCAAACATGTCAGTCCCTAATGCAGGGATCTCATCCATGACTGTGCTCTCGGGGCCATTGTAATTCACACCGAGTGCGCCCTTAGTCATCTTTGGCAGTCATTGGGGATTGGGTCACAATTTCACCAAACATAATATCGGCTTTCTCTAAAAGAGAGTGGTGCAGCGTGGGCCAATGGATTCTTTGTTGTTCTTCCCCTCCAGAGTGGAGGGTCTCCGCTCAGCCCATCTGCGGTTTCTCACAGTGATAGTACTTCATCCACGCAGTCGCTGTCTCATGGAGGGGCGCCAGAGCTGTTGGTGGGGCTCTCGTACAATGCCACAACGGGGCGATTATCTGTGGAAATGATCAAAGGCAGCCATTTCCGAAACCTTGCTGTTAACCGAGCACCTGGTAAGTGTGACTCTGTTCTCGCAGCTCTGGTTCTTCCAGAGACAAATGGAAAGACCTGTCGGCTTTCATCTTAGTTCTTAAATTTTTACCGTAAAAATGATCTTATTATGACTTAGGCAAGCTTTCACAAAGAGATACCTTTGTATTTTTAAATGGCTGTCTATTTAATTAGACTTCTTTGCTATCTAGATGTATCTGGACATGAAATAGACTGGCCTGTGTGTCTATATTGTTTAAAGGAAAAGAATGAATAGCATTTTCAGCAACATAATGTGTACGGGCAATTAAAATCTGCTAATATGTTGTAGACCCTCAACTTTAAAGAAAAAGAGCTCTGGCTTTGGAGTAGGGCAGATCTGGGATTGAATTCTAGCGTTACCTACTACTTAACCACTAGCTTTGATCTGATCCTGTGCAATTTATCCCTTTTCAGAACACAGCTAACTCATCTGACAAAAAAAGATATTAATAGTACCTTCCTGATGGAGTTGTTTTGGAGTTTAAATGAAATGATTTATTTAAAGCATTTAGTACAGTGCCTACCACGTAGTGAATGCACACGAAATGTTAATGGTTATGGTGGTGACAGAGAAAGGAAGTACAGGAGGCAGATCTGGGGTGATCCAGGACTGGCTCTCCAGGGGAACTACCACTTTTGAGATTGTCACTGGAAAGAGGGGTTCAAGGTATATCCCCAGAGCTGCAGTCCAAAGTTCAGAAAGCCACACTCAAAAAGCTGCTGTTTTCAATTGCCTCAACAGCCTCTCACCATCTAGGAAGTTAGAGACTGAACATCAGAAGCATGCTGTTAAAAAGTTAGCTTACCTTTTTATAATCTTGTTTTTCAGCAAAAAAGCTTGAAAGGGGGTTTCTTTTTTGCTTCTGCCTTCTGGACCTCATGCAAACACACCTAATTGGAGGACTTAATTTGGATATGGAATGCTAGCTGCAAGAGAGTCTGAAAACGTTGTTGAATTTCTAGTCTTTCAAGTCAGGAAGGTAAACTAGAAGGGAGTAGAGTGGAGGGCTAGGGAGCCTGCCACCATGGGCACCAAACTGTTATTGAAAGAAGGATGAAATCAGTATATTTGTGGCAGGCTGAAAGAGTCAGTGGACTCAGGCCTCATGTGTCAGCAGCAGGTGAAGAACTAGAAGTGCCACTGTAAAAGAGTCGTCTCCTACAGCTGAATCTGGGCTCTTACTCTTTTTTTGCCCTTAATTGTGCCGCAGCCCACAAAAGCTCTGTGGAATGGGGGTATCTTGTTAGAACGTGTGTGAAAATCATTAGGGCAAATTAGTAAGGAATGCCCCAGCACTTTGGATAACAGAATAGACTGGGTTTATCAGCCATATTCTGTGTTGACACTCAGAGCCACGTGAGGGCTATTTAGAATGCATAATAGATGCTTATTATTAGTTACATAGCTAGACTCTTTTTACTAGATACCAATTTGTTTTCCAGAATAGCTCTGAATTTACTAGAGATTTGTCTGGATTTACTACTTTGCCTTCTGAACTTTTGCTAACCTCTTTCCCTGTCCTTCTGAGATCTGATAAAGTCTGAACAATTTTTTAGGAACATAGTAGAGATGCAGAGAATGGTGGGGTTGTGGATCACACAATCATATTCAAGTCCATGCTGTGAAGCTTTATTTTGTATATTGGATGGTACTAGGCAATACAGAGGAGAGGTACAGCATGGTGCTTGAGAAAGTACCAGCTGGAGGCCAACAAACCAAGGTGTGAATTCAGGCTCTGCCACTTATTGTAATAGCCGTGAGTTACTGCCTGGGTGTGGTGGCTCAATGCCTGTAACCACAGCACTTCGGGAGGCTGAGGTGAATGGGTCACCTCAGGTCAGGGGTTCGAGACCAGCCTGGCCAACATGGCAAAACCCCATCTCTATGGAAAATAACAAAAATTAGCCGAGCTTGGTAGTGCACACCTGTAATCCCAGCTACTTGAGAGACTGAGGCCAGAGAATCACTTGAACCCAGGAGGTGGAGGTTGTAGTAAGCCAAGATTGCACCACTGCACTCCAGCCTGGGTGACAGAGTGAGATTCCGTCTCATAAAAACAAAAAACAAACAAACAAACAAAAATTGTGAGTTATGAAACTGTTCTGAATCTCAGTTTCCTCATCTATAAAAAGGGAGTTGGTATAGTATGTACTTTATAAGTTTACATACCTGTAATACTTGCAAAACTGTGATACTGAGGATGGAACTATTATATCTTAATAAATATCTATATAAATATGCTAAAGATGAAATTCTTGTAACAAATATTTAAAACCAAATAGAAAAAAAAGGCAAGTCCTAATTTAGAGATTGATTTTGTTCCAGAAGTTTAAGACTATTTGGCATTTAGTACATGATTTGCCATAGGCATAGTGTTGCAATAAAACTTAAAATGTAACTGACATGTTATATCTTTGCAACCCATGGAATAGAAAACAATGCTGCTGTGATGCTAGGAATTAAAATAGAAACCCAATAGTGAAGACAAAAGTTTTTTTGTCTCTGTAGAATGCTGGTACTTGAGGAAAAGCCAGTTTAATTAGGAAGGGATGAGAAAGTAGAAGGTTCCTTTGTGGAGCTTCTGAAAGGGACCTCTTGGAATTTTCAAGGGCTTTAGATGTCGATGGTCTTGGTTTTTCATTATGTCTCGCTTCATTATGGCACTCACACTACTTTGACAGTTACATGGCAAGCTTGGGATACATTTTTAGTTCCCATATGGAAGAGAACAAGAGAGAGAAAGAATGAGGGGACACGAGTTTTATGAGGTAACTGAGAAGAGTTGGAAGGAAGAGGGGGAAAAGAAGAGAGGACAGGAGCCAGGAGAGGAATGGAGCTGTGAGTGGGGAAAGGCAGAGGCTGCATGCCGAGTTCACCGCTCCCCACGGCAGAGGGAGAGCCGGCGGCAGTCCGGGCCCTGCTGCAGAGTCCGCCACAGGGTCACCGCCGGCCAGGGGAACTTGTACCACTGAGGGCCACGACATCCTGTGGTTGAGGCTTCAGCTCAGGTGCAGTTACCTCCTCTGTGACTTCAATCCTGCCCGATAGGGTGGTCATGATCACGTAAAGAATGGTTCTTAGGGAAGTGTGAAGGAAAATAGGTTGAGCCTGAGTACTGGGAACTTTTCTTCTCTTGAATATTGTTAAGGTTTTACATGATGCTGGAAAGAGAGACAGTAGCTAGGATTTAGAAGTGAGAATCTTTTTGCCTCAAAATATATCCTAAAACAAAAGGCAACTTTGAGTTAACCAACCTGACCCAGTTAGATAATCTGATATTTTTTAAACCTTTCCTCGTAAGTAAGACAGAGGAACTGAACAAACAGTAGATGAAGTTCTTCTCCTCTGTTGGGGTCTTAGAAGAAATAAACCACTGAGATAGAAACCCCCTCCCCTTCTGAGGTGAAATCCTTGGGCGAGAGGGCTCCTTACTCTGATGGACTGGAGCTAGTGGGGGCAATAATAGAAATGTGAGTCTCCGCCAGCTCCAACCAGAGCCTCCACTGCACAGCCCCCAGCATGGCTAAAATGAAAAATTTGCACAAAGTATTGGTGAGGATGTGGAGAATACATTCTTGGTGGGAGTGGAAAATGGAACAACCACTTTGGGAAAAGGCGTAGAAGTTTTTTTTATAAAACTAAACATGCACTGAGAATCTAGCTGTTACATTCTTAGGCAGTAACCTATAAGTCAAAAAAGAAAAAAAAAAAGACCCATACAAGAATGTTTATAGCAGCTTTATTCATAACAGCAAAAACTAGACAGTCCTCATGCCCATCTAGAGAAGACTGAGTAAGCAAATTAAGATATACTTATATAATGGAATACTATTCAGCAATAAAAAGTAATAAAATTAAACGTAGGCATTCAACAGCACGGAGGAATCTCACAAACTTGCTGAGTTACCTACTGCTTGATTCCATTGATAAGAAATTCTGCAGTAAGCAAAACTAGTGTATAGTGGGGATAAAAGCAAAGGAGTGGTTGTGTCAGGAATAGTATTGGTGCTAGGATGTACTAGGTAGGGACATGAGGAAATGTTCTGGGGTGATGGGAATATTCTATATTTTGTTATTCTTTAAAATTTTTAATCTATATATTGATAGGGATGTGAGTTAAATGGATGTATGCATTTGTCAGAACTTGGTGAATGGCACTGAGCTTTGTACACTTCACTATAGGTGAATTTTACCTTAAAAAAGAACTGTAAAATATTAAACTCTAGCTAATGAAATGCATGCTGAAATTTTTAGCATTGAAGAGCAACAATGGCTACAATTAAAATGGATTAATGGATGAATAGAGGCACAGATATGTGAGAAAATAAAACAATTGAAAACTCAAGGTGGTGGGTATATGGACCTCCACTGTACAATTATTTCAAATGTTCTATATGTTTTAAATTTTAGATACTGGGGAATACAATCTAGTGTGGTATGAAGTAGATCAGCTGGGTCAAGTTGGTAAAAATAAAATATGAATCTTAGCCATGGATAGGGACTTCTGTGGTTGGCAATACTTCTTGTTTTTTTTTTTTTCTTTAAATTAGCGTGACATCTCTAGATGTCACTCTATTTCCCTAGATAAACCTTGGATCAGAAAGATGGGGTACTGGCCGGGCTGGGTGGCTCATGCTTGTAATCCCAGCACTTTGGGAGACTGAGGCGGGCAGATCACCTGAGGTCAGGAGTTTGAGACCAGCCTGGTCAAGTGGTGAAACCCCATGTCTACTAAAAATACAAAAAATTAACTGGGCATGGTGGCAGGTGCCTGAAATCCCAGCTACTTAGGCTGAGGCAGAAGAATTGCTGGAACCCAGGAGGTGGAGGTTGCAGTGTGCCAAGATCGCAGCACTGCATTCCAGCCTGGACCACAGAGCGAGACTCCATCTCAAAAAAAAAAAAAAAAAAAAAAAAGAAAAAGAAAAAGATGGGGCACTGAGCATCTGAACCTGAGGACATCTTCTATAGTGTCCTCCA